TTGGTGCCTTTTGGAGCAGTTTTGGGCATGGAATGGATATCACATGCATGGAGCAAAGTGGTTGGACGAAATTAAAGATCTAAAGAAGCTAGGAATGTGCCAAGGAAAGGAAGAAAATAAATTGAGGACCAAGGAAGACAAGGAAACCATTAAGAATAAGCAAAGACTAGTCAAACTTGCCTTATCTTGTCGTTACCTTTCCTAATCCTAAATTACCAAAGATTTAGTCACATGAAGGGTTCCTAAATACTTTGGGACATTTCATTACATATTCTACAAGTCCTAAACCTGCCCTAAAAGTCCAAGCCATACAATTTTTCACCATTTCTCTTCCTTACCGTGCAAGGGAGCCATTCCTTTCCTATTTTCTGCCATAAATCACTCCATGCCATGCACATTCATCCATGTTCCCTCCTTGCACTCAATTGCTGCACCATTCCACTTCCTTTCCTTTGTCTACCATGTGCACAATATCCTTTCACCTCCTTGCACTCATTGATTCACCACTTACTCACCTTTCCACCCATGCCATGCATAATCACCCTTGTCCCTTTCATGCACCAGATTTCTTGCACTCATTTCATGCACCATTACACTCATTATCCACCCATGCCGTGCACCACCCTTGTCTCCTTCATTATTTCTGATTTCATGCATCAAAACATTGAATGACACTCAATTGCTGCACATTTCTTGTCCCCTTCACCCATCAGATTTCATACAACTTTTACCTCCACTACATGCACTCATTGATGCACCATCCACCACATTTGGAATCCCATGTCGTGCATCATAAGTCTTGCTCACCTTTGACTCATTTCTGCACCATTCCACCTCCATTTCCTTTCTCCACCATGTGCATAATCATTCATGTTCCCTAGCTGCAACACCACTCCATTTTACCCCCCATGCTTTGCATCATCACTTCACTTTCACCTTTGAATCATTTCAAACACCACTCAATGCATTCATTGCTGCAATACCACTCCATTTTACCCCCCATGCTTTGCATCATTACTTCATTTTCACCCTTGAATCATTGCACACACCACCAATTTCCCTCCATTGCCATGCACTTCCTCTATAAAAGGAAGTATGTGTGCCAGCCATATAGTTTAGTTTTTACTTGATCATTCATCCCCATTTCAATACAACCTTCATCCAAACACATCCATTCATCTTTACATCCATTCCTCCATACAAACAAACCTTCAAACACTCACCAACACCTTGTGCCGTAGCAAAGGAAGGGAAGGAAAGTGCTTGGACGTGCTTGCTGTCCAACTTGGATCGTTGGAGCGTTTAGGTGTTTTCTTTCTTTTGTTTCCAATGTTTAAATTCATTTTCTTTCGTTTTGTTGTGAATATGAGTGGCTAAACCCCTCTTAGCTAGGGGTGATTTCAAAGCCATGATTATGTGTGTAATATGATTTGATAAATTCCAGTTATGAACTCTTGAATCGTGAATGCAATTGACTTAACTATTTGATTGAAAACTTATTTGTATTTGTTAATTAAGGGTCAACACTTAATTGGCATGCATAAATCCGTTGCTAGAGTATAAGGAAGTTTCACATAATCATTACAAACTTATATTCACATGTAGTGAAGGTCGCTTATAAACAATCGCGTTAAGTTCAATTCCTAGCATGAGTAACATGATGTCATAGTTGCAAGTGCTTTGTCAATGCTTATAATTTTCATTAAATATAATGATCTTTGATTGTATCTCTATTATGATGTCATGTAGGAAACTTTTGAAGAATGTTTTGGGTTGTCGAATGATGTCATCCAATCCAATAAAACAAGGAAAATCTGAGAGTTAACTAGTGATGTCACGGTTAATTTGGAGCATTGTCGTTCATAATTCAATGAAGTAGTAACTGGAAATTGAATTATTTGCATACATGTCATGTGTGGACAAAAAGCCTCTAGCTATCTCATCCACCATCTTATTTCTCACATTCGTTTTACAATCTGTCTAGTTTTTCATACTTGTTTGTTTGTTACAACTTCATCCAAATCAAAACCCCCCTTTTAGTTTCTTGTTTCAAAGTGTTTCAAATTTGTTTTAGTTTTTTTTTTTAAGTGTTTTGATTCAAGTAAAAGTCAATTTTCGTCCAAAGTCATTCCTAGTGTCTAGTTTAAGTTTATTTGGTTGTTTTAAGTTGTTTTGAGTATTTTAAGTTTGCTTTGAGTCTTGTGAATCTTGTTAAGTGTTTTTAAGTTTAGTTTTATGTTTTTGAGTCAGTTTAGAGGTTATTTGCAAACCATCCTAATCCCTGATCCAGAACGATCCCTACTTAAACCTATACTACAATTGTCAAAAGAGGGTTAAATTTGTGTGTTAAGTTAATTTTTGCATCAGCGACCGTACATCAAACATTCTTGCAGCAACCCTAACAATCGCCCAGCGAGCTTGGACGATACCAAAACAACGCTCCACATCTTTCCTACACCCCTCTTGACAGCTTGCAAAGTATTTTTTCTTTTCACTTCGCGGACGTGGCATTGTTTTGACAAATGATGATCACCTTGGGTGAATGTCGTCTGCTAGGTAGTATGGCCAGTCGTACATATGTCCGTTGATGCAGTACGTGACTTTTGGTGCCTTTCTTTGCAAGACATCGTTGAACACTGGGGATTGAGCAAGGACGTTTAGGTCATTTTGAGCTCCTAGAACCCCGGAAGAGGCGTGCCAAATCCATGTATCAAAAGATGCCACCACGTCCAAAATGATACTTTTTGCTCATTTTGTTTGTCCCTATAAGCGCCTTGCCATGCACTTGGACAGTTTTTCCACGTCCAGTACATACAATCGATGCTTCCAATCATCCCAGGAAAACCTCGCATCTCGGCCTTCTTCAGAAGCCTTTGCAAGTCCATGTTAGTAGGTTTCTAGAGGTACTTTACAGTGTAGATAGATTTGATTGCTCCGCAAAACCTCATCAGGGACTCAAGAATTGTTGATTTCCCCATCCTCGCTATCTTATCCATTTGGTCTGCAGATGTTCCATACATAAGCATCCGCATCGCAGTAGTAATTTTTTGCTCAAGAATGAGACCCATATCACCAAAAGCATCGTTCTTTTGCACAGAGTAAGAATCATGGTTGCAAACAGCAATCATGATTTTGTTGAACAAATGTCGTTCCATTCTAAAACGACGTCTAAAGTACGTATCAGGGAATGCACTGTTACGAACAAAGTAATCGTCCAAAAGGTCCGCACCTCATCGTTGCTTGTTTCTATCAAGGTTTCCGGAACGGCTGGGCTTGGAGATATGAGCCACAGCTTGGATGACTCAACGGGAATGTGAGGTTCTAGCCATTCTTGCTTCGTCATCTTTCCTTCTACGTCCTTCATCCTCTTCCATCTCATTTTGGGTCACCTGGAGATTGAACATTCATTCTGATTGGTTAAACAATTCTTCCTCTTGCTGATCGATTTCCCACATCATCCTTGAAGAAGAAGACATTGTAAGAAGGAAGCAGAAACTATGAATAATGATACAAATTTTGATTTTGGTGAAAAAGGAAGCAGAAACTATGAATAATGATAAAGATCTTGAGAAAATTGGTGTGAGATTTCAGAGGATGGATGATGGATTATATGGAGGGTTAATAAAGGATTAGGTTGTAGATAGTGTTACGTGGCATGCCGTCATTCGTTAAAAATCTGATCGAAATCTATCCTCAAAGATTCTGAAAAGGTAACAATACGTGGCACGATGACATTGGATAAAAATCTTATCGAAATCCATCACCAATAATTATCTTTTCAGATAATGACACGTGGCACAACGAGAATGATTTAAAATCAAATAGAAATCTATCCTCAAAAATTCTGAAAAGGTAACAACAAGTGGCATGACGACATTGGATAAAAATCTTATTGAAATTCATCACCAATAATTGTCTTTTCAGATAATGACACGTGACGCAACGAAAACGATTAAAAATCTTATCCGAAATTACAAATAAAATTATTTTGTATTATTTAAAATAAATAAAAAACTAATATTTTATTGTCTATTGCCAGGGTTATTCAAGTGCAACGGTGGAGATGCAAAAGACAGTTATTGTTCATTAAGGGTAGTTACTATTCACTGAGTGGATTAAATACTGAATAGCCTGGGGGTGTCCACTAGGGGTGGGCACTTGGAACTGAAAACTAAAACCGAAATACGAATCGAATCAAACCGCACCGAACAGTTTGGTTTTGTGGTTTTGAAACGGTTTCGGTTTCGAAACCGAACCGCGGCAAAGAAAATGGTTTGGTTTCGGTTTTGGGTTTTCAAAACCGCACCGAAACTGAAACCACACCATATAATAAAATTAATAAATAAATGTTATATTTTTAATCTTTAATTAGTTCAACTAGGTTACTAGACTATCATTATCATCTAGTTTTGCAACTCCTGAAGGTTGAAACACATCTTCATCTCCTTAACTCATCTTCTTAAAACTCATCTTTGGTGTAGTTTTGTTGCAATTTTTTGCTGCAGATTTGGTGCAGATTTTCTGCAGATTTGATGCAGCTTTGCTAAGTTTTTTGTTGCAATTTTGGTGCTGTTTTTCTGTTGTTTTGCTACATATTTTTTTGCAGTTTTGCCAGTGTTTTTTGCTGCATTGTTGTTGCTGTTTTTGCTGCGGTTTTGCTGGATATTCATTAATTAATATATGAGAAAAATAAGGTCGTCTTATGTATAAATAGGTGTATATTTTAAATTGTACATTTTTTCTCAAAAATCAAACCGAAACAGTTTGAAACCGCACCGAACCGAATCGAACCAAATAGTTTGGTTTCATTTTGGTTTTGGCTTCAAAACCGCACCGCAAAATGTTTCGGTTTTGATTGTGATTTCACTCGAAATCGTACCGAACCGCATTACGCCCACCCCTAGTTTCCATGGAGTTGCTCTTATGATTTTCGTTTTTTGGGAAATTGAAAATATTATAGCAAGGGCCGAAGCCAACTTTCAAGTCCATTTTCTAATATCAGCCGGAAAAAGTGATTATTTTTCATCAAAATTAAAAGCTACCGCAAGCATCCTATTCAGTCCCAATTAATTATTCAAAGCGGATCGCTTTTCTCAATTCCATTAGCCTATAACATTTTCGAGCCACCGACCATGAAGTTAGGGTTCCATAGCCCCTGCTGCCGATCTGTAAGTCTCCCTTTCCGTTTCAATTTGCGTCTGCTGATTTTCTATTGTTGGTTGACTTTCCTTTTCTGGGTTCTGTTTGTTTCCCGGGAAAAGTAAATTCTAGGACGGGAAATCGTATAGCATTCAAATTTTCAATCATACAAATTTGTTCGTATTTGGTTTGGATTGGTTGAGAGACAGAGCCCAATTGAACTGCTTTGGAATTAGTTGCACCTGAGTTGCGTATTTGGATTTGATTTCTACAATATTATCTAATTACTTGTGATGTTTTCTGTTTGTTTGTTATGATGTCTATTGTTTAATGCTTTGCTCCGACATGGTTTCTTCACATGTAAGGCTTCAATGGATGTTGTGTTTGTTTGGTTGCTGGGAATTTCGGGGACATGAAAATGGTCAGAAATTTTTCATTTTATAGACTTTGAATCACTTGACTTGAAGCAATAGTAGTTTCCGGTTAATGATTTTGTCTCATTGAGTCTGTAAGTTCTCGGAATTTGTTGAATCCAGGCACGGATTAGGGCCTTTGGTACTAAAATCATCGCCAGTCGTCACCTGCTATTTAGTCAAGAAAACATTGCTTAGACAGAATTTTCCTTTAGCTAACAAAAATCAGTTATTATGTCAAATCTACGATGCTTCGACACAGTGGTATCCCCTCGTATCCTCGTGTTGTGTCGTATTCCCTTGTGGTCATACAACGATTCTTCTTGTTAATTTGACGTATCCCCGCGTCTGCGTCCATGTCCGTGTCCGTGTCCATGCATTGTAGTGTCAAAGGGAATTCACTAGAAATTTTTCTGTAAACTTCTATGTTACGTATAGGAAGATGGAGTGCAAGTGCTATTTCTTTGTCAAACTCTTTTCCAATACTTGGAACCCAAATTGTAAAATAGAAGTAGTAGAATATAACTTGTAGTTGATGACTGCCTAGTCTGGTTTTGTAATTTGTATTTTGCTTGGTTTGACTATTGAACAGGTCTAAAAGAAATGCGAACGATGTCAAGACCAGTGCTGCTTGTTTTTCTGCTTCTTATTCTCATAATCACTTCTCAGTTTGAATGGAAGCAACAACTTGTTCCTGATCTTGACACAACTCCAAGCATTTCCGAAAAGCAGAATCAAAACTCGAATAGGGAAGAAGTTGTAAAAGAGAAGGTAATAAGCTTCTTCCTGATTCATGTAATTCTTTGTATTTGTTTTTGGTAAGTCCATATTTCAGTATGTTTTCTTCACTTTGAACTTCCCTTATTCTTTGATGCTGAAATGGAGATATTGATTGTCACAAAATATTTCTTGAACTGAGATGAGCTGCGTATTGTAGACATATAAATGTGCAGGTTCGTCATTATTTTTCAGTAGCTCGGATGCTGGCTAATATTAGTTGAAAACACAATCATATCTTTTCTCAGTCGTTCTTAAGGAACTAGTGACTACAAACATCTGAATTTGTTTCTTTGTTTTTATTTTTTATCCTATTCCATTTGACGATGTTTAATGCACATACGGAAGTCGCAGCCATAACCAATTTCCTAACTGATTCAGCCTCACCCCAATGCGAGATCACATACTTGATCTTTGCTGTCACCTCAGTCCTGTGTGTTTCTGTTTCCTCTAGTATTACTTTGAAACAAGCAAGTCTCTTCTCTTTGGAGGCACACAATCTGCAGGCGTATTTTGACTGTATATAGCTTGAATAAAAGATAATCCGATAGGCTTGTATCAATCAAGAAGCATTCAACTCTTCTGAGCATAAGCAATAATTATAAGCTGTTTATACTTTTTACATTGGGTATGTACTGTTGGTATGAGAGAGGTTAAAGGGATTGAAGCATCACCAGTTTGCGCTTTCGAATTCTAAACCTAGACTTATGTTTACTAAGTTGCACGCTTCATGTAACCAAGCTGATTCTATGTGATGTAATGTTCGTAGATTATTATTTCACGTCAATATTGTCAAACCCGGCACTCCTCAATTACGTCGAATCCTTATGAAAATGAATCCAGAACGAAATCGCGCTAAAGCTAGGGTGTCACCCGTAAGTGGCGCGCTGTGTGGCCCGAGCACAGTGATAAGGGAGCAAGGGTCGCTGTATCTCCATCGGCACCCGGATGTAGTGTTAAATAAGCAAGGGGGCCATAGAAACTTCTTTTCGAACGACTCCACTCAAAGTTGTTTGGGAGCATATGCTCCTATCAACTTTACACAGGACACACAAAAGAAGTACTTTGATCCTATTGGACGGGGGTGGGTGAAGAAGTTAGGACAGAAGGGTAGAGTTCAAGAGAGTAGAATGCGTTTAGGAACGTGGAATATAGGAACATTAACGGGAAAATTTATAGAAGTAGTGGAAGTTATGGTGAGGAAAAGGATAAATATTATGTGCCTACAAGAAACTAAGTGAATTGGTCTTAAGGCAAAGGATCTAGAAAACTCAGGGTTTAACTTTGGTATTCGGGCACAAATAGAACGAGAAATGGTGTTGGCATCATCGTGGACAAGACCTTGACACAAGATGTTGTAGATGTCAAGAGGGTAGGAGATAGAATCATGGCAATCAAGATTGTAATAGGACCAGAACTTATCAATGTGATTAGTGCATACGCACCTCAAGTAGAGTTGGATACGAGTTCGAAGGAGAAATTTTGAGAAGACCTTAGAGACTTGGTGCAAGGAATTGCCTAGACGGAGAAGTTATTTACAGGAGGAGATTTAAATGGACACGTGGGCAGGGAGACAGGCAACTATGGAGGTTTTCATGGTGGCCATGGTTTTGGGGAGAGAAACGAGGATGGGGAAACTATCTTGGATTTTGTAATGGCATATGATCTCTTCTTAGCCAACACCTTCTTTAAGAAGAGAGAAGAACATGTGATCACCTACAAGAGTGGGTCGTCAAAAACACAAATAGATTTTCTTCTAATGAGGAAAGGGGATCGTATAACTTGTAAGGATTGCAAAGTTATACCGGGAGAGAGCTTGGCTAATCAACATCGCTTGTTGGTGATGGATGTACATATCAAAAGAGTGAGAAAAAAGAACAAGACTTGGAAGTGCCCAAAGACTAGATGGTGGAATCTAAAAGGAGAAAAACAAGCCATTTTCAAAGAGAAAGTAATCACCCAGTGTGGGTGGGATAGAGAGGGGGAAGCTAGCCAAATGTGGGATTCCATGGCTAGTTGTATCCGAAAAGTAGCAAAAGAGGTATTAGGAGAGTCCAAGGGCTCTGCTCCACACCAAAAGGAATCTTGGTGGTGGAATGAGGAGGTACAAACAAAGGTGAAGACTAAGAAGGAATGTTGTAAAGCCTTATACAAGGACAGGACCGATGAAAATGGTGAAAGGTATAGAAGAGCGAAGCAAGAGGCGAAGAAAGCTGTGAGAGAAGCTAAGTTAGCGGTTTATGACATGTATAAGCGACTAGATACCAAAGAAGGAGAGTTGGATATCTATAAACTAGCTAGAGCAAGGGAAAAGAAGACAAGGGACCTAAACCAAGTGAGGTGCATCAGGGATGAGGATGGAAAGGTTCTTGCTACAGAGAATGCGGTCAAAGACAGATGGAGAGGTTATTTTCATAATCTTTTCAATAAAGGACATGAAAGGAGTACTTCTTTAGGGGAGTTGAGTAACTCAGAAGAGTGTAGAAACTACTCCTTTTATCGTTGAATCAGGAAGGAAGAAGTGGTTGTAGCTTTGAAGAAGATGAAGCATAGAAAAGCAGTGGGCCCAAACGATATACCGATCGAAGTGTGGAAAGTCTTGGGAGAGACAGGTATAGCATGGCTCACTGACTTTTTCAACAGGATTTTGAAAACGAAGAAGATGCCAAATGAGTGGCGAAAGAGCACTTTGGTGCCTATTACAAGAATAAGGGCGACGTACAAAATTGCATGAATTATAGGGGTATTAAGCTAATGAGTCATACAATGAAGCTCTGGGAGAGAGTCATTGAGCATAGATTGAGGCAAGAGACACGGGTTTCGGAACCAATTCGGGTTCATGCCAGGGCGCTCAATCATGGAGGAAATCTATCTCTTACGAAGATTGATGGAAAGATATAGAGATGGAAAAAGGATTTACACATGGTCTTTATAGATTTGGAAAAAGTGTATGATAGGGTCCCAAGAGACATTCTTTGGAGGATTTTAGAGAAGAAAAGAGTACGAGTAGCATATATCCAAGCTATAAAGGATATGTATGAAGGAGCAAAGACTGCCGTAAGAACTCATGAAGGACAGACCGAAAGCTTCCCCATAACTGTAAGATTACATCAAGGCTCATCCTTAAGTCCTTACCTTTTTGCGTCGGTAATGGATGAGTTAACAGGACATATTCAAGATGATATTCCTTGGTGTATGCTTTTCGCAGACGATATAGTGTTGATAGATGAAACTCAGGAAGGGGTAAATGCGAAGCTTAACCTTTGGAAAGAAGTGTTGGAATCTAAAGGTCTTCGCCTAAGTCGATCAAAGACAGAATATATGAAGTGCAAGTTCAGTACAAATGCAGGTCAAAATGAGTTAGGGGTGAGGATCGGAGATCAGGAAATACCAAAGAGCGATCGTTTTCGCTACTTAGGATCTATCTTGCAAAAGAACGGAGAATTAGATGGAGATCTCAACCATAGAATACAAGCTGGATGGATGAAGTGGAAGAGTGCATCCGATGTGTTGTGTGACCGCCGTCTGCCATTGAAGCTTAAGGGAAAATTTTATATGACGGTAATAAGGTCGGCGATGCTGTATGGCTCAAAATGTTGGGCGGTGAAGCATCAACACGTACACAAAATGGGTGTAGCGGAGACGAGGATGCTTCGTTGGATGTGTGGGCACACGAGAAAGGATAAGATTAGGAATGAGGATATCCGAGGTAAAGTAGGAGTAGCTGAAATTGTAGAAAAATTGAGAGAAAATCGGTTACGGTGGTTTGGACATGTGCAAAGAAGGCCTACTGACGCTCCGGTTAGAAGATGCGACTACGGGACAGAGGTTCAGGGCCGAAGGGGTAGAGGAAGACCTAGGAAAACTTTGGAAGAGACTCTAAGAAAAGATTTAGAGTATTTGGATCTAACGGAGGACATGACACAGGACCGAGCACAATGGCGTTCTAAGATTCATATAGCCGACCCCACTGAGTGAAGAAGGCTTTAGTGTATTTAACACAATACGTTGAAATGAAGTAAAGCTTATTTATTGATATTTCCAATAAGTTACAAATATGTACATATACATGAGTCAAAATAAACAAACAAGAGGGAGCCTTCACAAAGGTAGCTTAGGAGAAGTCTCAGCAGTCGGTAGAGCCCCAGAAAGAGAAGGCATCGGAGGGGGATCATTCGGAGCCTCAGTACTGGACAAAACCCTAGAAGGAGGAGGCATCGGAGGTTGATCATTTGGAGCTTCATTACGCGGTACAGCCCCAGAAGACGAATGCAATAAATGCCTTTGGAACAAACCCACAAACCGCTGATGATCAAGTAAAACCTGACCATCAGATTCCTTCATCTGGTCAAGCTTCCTCTTCATGTTTGTAGCATAGTCATGTGCGAGCCGGTGCAACTGTTTATTCTCATGCTTGAGTCCTCTAATCTCCTGTTTGAGACTCATCACTTCAGCCGCCAATGATTCAACTTGGCGGGTTCGAGCAAATAGGCGTTGGGTCATATTAGACACAGAACCTGCACACTGAACACTTAGAGCCAGAGAATCCTTAACAGCCAACTCATCAGACCGTTTGGAAAGTAGTCTGTTATCTTTGGGAGTGAGAAGGTTCCTGGCCACCACCGCAGCAGTCATATCATTCTTCATCACGGAATCCCCAACGGTAAGAGGACCAGTAGGGGATAAGAAGGATGGGCGCCATATGTTGTCTGGAGAAGGTGTGGCTGCCTCTTCAACAAGGTTCAAGTCAAAACGACGGTCGGAGGGGCCAGACATTTTCAAAGGTGTTGAAGAGAGAAAAGGTCGGACAAATCAAGATCTTAGAAGTGCAAGAAGGGAGCTTCTACTGGTGAAGATTCAAGTGTGCTTTGGAACTTAATGCCAGCCTCTATAAAAATCTGCACTCGACGGAGCTTCAGAAATCGAAGAGACGCCTGCCCAGAAATTGAAGAGGCGTTTGCTTTCTCAAAAGCTGGGCTGCTCAGAGACCATGAGGGCCGATCTCAGAAATCGAAGAGGCGCTTGCTTTCTCAAAAGCTAAGCTGCTCAGAGACCACGAGGGCTGATCTCAGAAATCGAAGAGGCACCTGCTTTTCTCAGCCTTGTCAGCACCTGTCACATGCACACTCAGCTTTGCTGAAATTACGGACATTCTGTTGAAGATTTCTGGTGAAGTAGAAAGCACGTGAATCTTACTGTTCAATCATCCACTTTCCACACGCACCATCAGCTCATGGGTACCACAGATAACTTTGCCAAAGATCTCTGACAAAGTTTAGACACGTGAAGCTTGCAGCTCCCACGTCGCTATGACCAAGAAGGGTAAAAGAATAGCAAAGAAACAACACTAACAAAGTTTAGACACATAAATTTTGAAGGTCTAGCTACCATATTATTACCCACAAGAGTAAAGGAACAGCACCACTGCTGGATAATTGGAAAGTCCATATGTGTCAACCTTTGTGCTCCGTGGCAAGGTAGACTAGCAAACATGCCCAACCTTTACTCACATTCGAGAAAACACTCCCAACAAGATTGCTTGCTCCAAAATCGAAGAGGCACCGTCCTCTTAATCTCGAGAGCCAGACTCCCAACATGATTACTTTCTCAAAAATCGAAGAGACATCGCTCTTCGAATCTCGAGAGCCAGACTCCTAGCAGGATTGCTCTCTTAAAAATCGAAAAGGCATCGTTCTCCGAATCTCGAGAGCCAGATCCCCGACAGGATTGCTTGTTCGAAAACCGAAGAGGCACCGCTTTCTCAACTTCGAGAGCCAGATCTCCTTGGATAAAGCTTGTCTGTAATCTTCACACGCAACATCAGCTTTCCAGATACCACAGACCACTTTTTCAAAGTGCTCTGACACACGTGAAGCTGGCAGTTCCCACTACCGTGATATGACCAAGCAGGGTAAAGGAATAGCGTTACTACTTGTTGTTAGGGAAACTCCTATATATGTCGACCTCCATCCTCAATGGACAGGCAGACCTGCAAAAATGCTCAACCCTTTCTCATATCTGAGAAGGCACTCCCAACGAAGCCTCTCGAAATACTCAGCTTTCTTTCCCCCCGATAATCCCTCTGCAAACAAGCTACACCAGAGTAAGAATATCTCATATCATCAGGGTTAAAAGTAAGAGTATCCCATATCTTGCTTTTTCCCTGTCTTTTCCTTTGGCCTTGTTCTTACCTGCAAGACAAGGAGAAAGAAAGCAATCAGTCAGCACTTGGAATCAAGCTTCTAGTCAGGAACTGACTGCCTAGAACCCCTTACCTGATTACTTACCTGGCATTGCTCTCGAGTACTCATCTTCAACATCTTATGCTTCCAGAGAAGATACCACATCTGCCTGAGGAACATATAGGGAAAGTGAGAATGATACAAGGAAGCATGTGGAAACAAGCGTAACAGAACACGTGCCGATACATCCACTACTTTGTCAACAGCAAAAGTATCCCATATCAGCAGGGTCGAACGTACTCTAGATTTGATGGACTTGTTTTGACCCTCAAATTCTTCAGTCGGCCTTATACTCTAGAGAAAACTAGAAAATCCTCCAGCCCAGTTCAAGAATAAGCCTGTGGAAAGTTACTTCTTCAAAAGCAAAAGTATCTCATATCATCTATTCTCCTTTTCTCTTTATCCTTCATGCTGCCTGCAAGATAGGGAGAATGAGAACAATCAGCCGGAACTCGAAATCAAACTTCTGATCTGGGACTGATTGTTTGGAGCTCTGATTGCTTACCTTGTCTGTCGCCTCTTTCAGCAGATCCCTTAGCTCGGCGACTTGGGGGACTCCTACTACATGGTTTGTATCGCGCTTGACCAAGCTTGAAACTACAAGTAAGCTTCAAGTGAAATTGATACATTACCTTGTGCATCTCCACCCGTTAAAGATACCATCCCTGGATGGAGGAAGAGTACTTCCAGAGAAGATGCCACATCTACCTATGAGACAGATAAGGCAAGTGAAGACGAGAGCTTGAACCTATGTCATTTGTACTAAATCATTCACTTGTACTCACTAAATGACAGCTTGAACCTATATACTTGTGTAAACCCTTCACAATTAATGAGAACTCCTCTACTCCGTGGACGTAGCCAATCTGGGTGAACCACGTACATCTTGTGTTTGCTTTCCTGTCTCTATCCATTTGCATACTTATCCACACTAATCATCAGAGCAATCTAGCGAAGATCACAAACTTAATACTTTCTGTTGTACCAAAGTCCTCACTGATTTTGTGCATCAACAATCCTTAAGTCCTTACCTTTTTGCGTTGGTAATGGATGAGTTAACAGGACATATTCAAGATGATATTCCTTGGTGTATGCTTTTCGCAAACGATATAGTGTTGATAGATGAAACTGAGGAGGGGTAAATGCGAAGCTTAACCTTTGGAGAGAAGTGTTGGAATCTAAAGGTCTTCGCCTAAGCCGATCAAAGACAGAATATATGGAGTGCAAGTTCAGTGCAAATGGAGGCCAAAATGAGTTAGGGGTGAGGATCGGAGATCAGGAAATACCAAAGAGCGATCGTTTTCGCTACCTAGGATCTATCTTGCAAAAGAACGGAGAATTAGATGGAGATCTCTGGATGAGTTAACAGAACATATTCAAGATAATATTCCTTGGTGTATACTTTTCGCAAACGATATAGTGTTGATAGATGAAACTCAGGAGGGGTAAATGCGAAGCTTAACCTTTGGAGAGAAGTGTTGGAATCTAAAGGTCTTCGCCTAAGCCGATCAAAGACAGAATATATGGAGTGCAAGTTCAGTGCAAATGGAGGCCAAAATGAATTAGGGGTGAGGATCGGAGAACAGGAAATACCAAAGAGCGACGTTTTCGCTACCTAGGATCTATCTTGCAAAAGAACGGAGAATTAGATGTAGATCTCAACCATAGAATACAAGCTGGATGGATGAAGTGGAAGAGTGCATCCGGCGTGTTGTGTGACCGTCGTAGGCCACTAAAGCTCAAGGGAAAATTTTATAGGACGGCAATAAGGCCGGCGATGCTGTATGGCACAGAATGTTGGGCGATGAAGCATCAACACGTACACAAAATGGGTTTGGACATGTGCAAAGAAGGCCTACTGACGCTCCGGTTCGAAGATGTGACTACGGGATAGAGGTTCAGGGCCGAAGGGGTAGAGGAAGACTTAGGAAAATTTTGGAAGAGACCCTAAGAAAAGACTTAGAGTACTTGAATCTAACGGAGGACATGACACAAAACCGAGCGCAATAGCGTTCTAGGATTCATATAGCCAACCCCACTTAGTGGGAAAAGGCTTTGTTGTTGTTGTTGTTGTGCTGAGGCTTATTGCACAGGAAATTCTGACTTATCATATACCCTATTGCACAGGAATGTCAAACGCTAAACATTTAAAATAATTCGACTTATCATATGCCCTAGTTATTAATTCCTAAAATTGTTTTTACCTTTGACCTATATTTTAATAAATGTTGAATTTCTTTTGTCATCCATATGATTTTTCCTAGTTACCCAAACTTGACCTCAAGTTTTGTAATCTGAAGTTTAGGAACTCTTGTAATTTGAAATGCAAATCAACATCACTTGTAATCATGGAAGCAGTAAAATCATTAAGAAAGAGTCATGTTATTTTTCTTTTCAGCCACACAATTACACAATTAAACCGGTAAGCAACCATAAACGGAGTGGTTATTAAGTATGTATATTCAAATATCGGATAGTGAGTGCTTTCTTCCACTTCTGAACTCCAATATCAAACTCCTTTGCTCTCGTTAAGCTTTCTTGTTACTATCCTTCTTTGTAATTAACCATGGATGTTGTTCTTCATCTGTATGATCAGGTCCTTTGATTCCTTGACTATTGAATGTTTGCTTGAGTCTTATGTATGTATCTCTTGTTCTCTACCTTATGAGCAATTTGGTACTGATATCTAGAAAAGGGACAAAAAACAGAGGCAGATAGAATATAGACGCTTACTTAGAACGAGAAGTAGAATATGATGAGAGAGAGGAATTAGGCTGAACTCTTTTACGATAAAAATTAGAGTAAGCTAAAACAACTGATTAGAGGTGTGATATATGTTTACAGTCAGTCCCAACTTAATTAAGGGCGGTGCTATTGGTACTCCGAAAAATTCATTGTGCGCTCCTCCCTAGGTGAAATAAATGAGGGAGGAAAAGTGCAGGAGGACTTTTTCTTTTTAGTGCTAAGAACAATTCCCACAATTAGTTCCTGAACTCATGGATAAAATTTAACCCTTACACCTAGAATGAGCACATGTTTTGATTCTGACATAAAAGACAGCACTTTGTAGGCAAGTTATTGATATATCTGTTTTCCGTACGGTGGTTAATTTCTATCAACTTTTTCTATTTATTACAAGGAGAATCCGTGGAATAATGTATATATAGGTCCTCATAGATCTGTTATCCACTTATCATGCATATGTAGTGGCAGGGATAATGCATCAAGGAACCAGACACAAACTCTTAAGTTTCGTGATCGAGTGGTTTTGTAATTATGTTATGATTCGTTTGGCCTATTGGTTTTGTAGATGCAGCGTGACTCCCCATGAATCTAATGACATGAATGGACATTAGTTGGATCCATGTAGTGTATTATGGGCAAACTGGTACTATCGCGGTGTTACCCTAATGAAATATGTTTATCTGAAGTTCCCATTGGTTTAAAATGACATGTTAATGTGCTCTAACGATCTGTTTCTAATCTATCTTTCAATTGAATCTCCATTATTGATCCAAGTTATCCTGTGGAATCGAAGGTTTTTCAAGTCTCCTAATTTTACATGTTTGCTTGTTGTAGATCATATTATTGCAAGAAAAGAACATTCAGAGACTTAATGAGCTTGTTCGTAGTCTTCGGGAACAGTTGGTACAGTGTAGGAGCAAGAATGTGACAAAAAATCAAACTGTAAGCTTCGTAACGGAACATGTAACGGAACTTGAACGACATCAGATATTCAATGACTAGGCTGAGCCCATGGAAGTATATGGATACTTGTAATATGTTTGACCTGTAAAAGCCCTCAAATTTTTTACCAGGTTTCAGAAGTAATTCAAATGTAAAGTTCACATCTCGAATAATCTTCTCGTCATATTTTAACTGTGTTTCTCACTATTTTCTTCGTATGGTTTCTTTCATTTCTCTCCACGTTTTCCTCCTTTTCCTTTTGCCTTTTTTTTTTTTTTTTCCCTCATATGCTTTCAAACAAAATTAGTTGGTCTTCCTGCTTTGTTAATGAATAAGAAAAGAAAGTAAATGCCATTTTTGTTTGTGGTTAGAACATCAATTAATTTGTTTTGCTTTCTCTCTCCCGTCATAGATTTTCAATGTAATAGTCACATTGTTATTTGATACCTTTTCATCCATTACTCGGTTATAGCACGCAGATCTATTTATTAATGTTACACCCCCAAGGCTTATACTTAATGGGTACATTTGTCGCTTCAACTTTCTATTTAAATAGATTGTCTTATGCTATACGGGTTTTATGGGTTGTATACCGGTTATAGCCGTTAGGTTACACAATTAGGAAGACATATTAAAGCAGATAATTTGGGGTTAGAGGCCTAGGGCATCTACAATAGAGATGTAAAAAGAAAAAAAATCAAATTTAAATGTAAAGGCTAATGTGGCAATTCGAAATTTTCTTTTGCTCCGACACATGTTTTTTTTTATTCAATTAATATTTGTAGGACCCATTCTTCAAAATAAATAAATCAAAACTAGTTTTAATAGTTTTATGATAGGATCCACATAACAAAATATTCAAAACTAATTTGACATTAGATTTTCTCATGTATCAAAATTGGATGCTCTTTGCCAATCCACATAAGATTGAAATATCAATGGAGCATCTATCTACCTTCAAATTATATTACATGCCATTCCATTTAGATTTGGACCTCCTTTGGTGATACTATTAGGTGGCAAGATTCGAAAAAAAAAGACGTGTTAAATGGGTTGACATGGATTAGCACAAATGGGACTCTACTTCGATGTGAGTGATCAGCACAAAATTCACCCGTATAAATAGAAGTGGTTCTTCAACATTCAAAGGACTTTCAACTCCACACATAAACGGCCTGGGCAAATTCTCACTTTACCCAAAACCCTCTCAAACCTTTGAGAAAATACTAACTTCCCTAACTTCGTCCACATACCTCCAATTTGGTTAACAACACTGTATTGATAACCAGTGACATCTTCAGTTTGGATTAATAATATTGGAGTCATAGAATCATGCAACCGAGGAGCATCTTCAGTTTGAAGTGACATCACTGCTTTGGGTTTGGCTGGTTATCTATCAAAGTCTCTGCAGTATGGAGTCTTCGACCTTCTTATTAAAATAGGTCATCTCATTAGCATTCTCATCAAAGTGAGGCGTTACCAAATTACTTAGTGTTTGACATAATGAAATTTGAACTTCATAGTGACTAGCAGCCTTGTCTTCAGGCTCTAGAACCCAAAGGTCAAGACATGTTCTTTCCTCGGTTGTGATCACTCAAATACAGAATTCAAAAGCGTGTTTGACACCACCACCACATTAATCCTACTCGTCAATCGAATTTGGTGGCGAGTTGGCACACCTGCATTCACCAGAAAGACATAGTTAGCGTATTGATTACTTGACCTGCACGCCATGTAGGCTTGGTAGTTTTTAAGGTCAACATTTTGGCCCGCCAGTGGGACCAAGTGCTAAAAATTACAAATTCCATGACCACCGAGACCCACTCTGTAAAAAAGAAAACGTCGATGGAAAGGAAATCAGACATTTTCAAATCAAGCAATTACGCCTTCTGGTGGAGAACTCGCACATGATCTTCCTGCTGCCATCACACTAGAACTTGTAGCACACCAAGAGGTATAAATCAACCTCAGGGGCTAGAAGCACACTGTAATGGCAATTGCAAAGACAACCAAACTCGCTGACTTTGGTCCTCTAGAGGGGACGGTTAAGGAATATGACGAGGAGGATGATGACGCCTTAGATGTACGTTTTAAGACATTCATTCAGAGCAAGCTTGAAAAGCACAGTAGACATCTCGAGTATACCCTCGAACGAGAGACCGGACGGTTGAGTCTTAAGTAAGACACATCAAATCAATACCATGAGGTCTACAACAAAGGCATGAAGAGACGAATTCTAGTGCTAGAAACAACCCTAAATTTAACGCTGTCTAAAAAAGAGTTGATTCTCTGTGGGGATAGGTCGTTGCCACCACAGTTCGAGGTAGGCTCAAGCAACCACATAGTTGATTCAGAGTCACTATATAGGCCACCATTGTTAGGGATGTATGGCCAGAACAGACGAAAAGGGTGATTAAGTGGAAATGGATATTGATGAAATCTAATACATGTCGATTCGGCCATAAAGAAAAGGATGATGGTCCCTTAGTTTATTCATCCTTATCCTCCCAAGGTAAAAAATAATGAATATTCTCGAGGGTTTAAGATTCCTGACTTTAGCCTTTTTAATGGTGAATCAAGTCTCTCCTCGTTGGAACACATCACTGGTTCACTGCTTAGTGTGGAGATGCCAACCATGATTACCATGAGTTATGATTGTTCAACTTTTTCTTGACTTCGTCGCATTCTCGTGGTATATAAACCTATCTTCAAACTCGACACAAACTTGGGATGACTTGGTTAGGAAGTTTTACGAGCAATTTTATTAGGCCGAAATGGAAATCTTAGTCTCTTCATTAGCTAGAATGGCTTAGGCACTTGATTAATCTCTTGCTTAATACTTTTACAGATTCAAGGTAGCCAAAAACTATTGTCGACTTCACCTTTCTAAGGCAGAGCATGTTCGGATAACGCAAAACGGTTTCAATATGGAGTTTCAAAAGAGGTTTCTTGACATGAATTTCTATGACATGTATGAGTTGGCTGAACAAGTGGAGCAGTATGACTCATTGCTCAGGGAGGAGATCGCCATAAAGATGTGTCACAAAAGACCTTGTACAAGATTCCAAATGTGAGCTACGCTTCGGTCGAAGAAATAGAATTGCAATATGTCAATGTTGATGCAACTGGAATCGTAATTGATAAACCCTTCATTTACAAGGCATTAACTCACGTTAACACAAAAGATACCAAGACCTGACCAGCTTTGAGCGAGGTTGCAATCAAGACATCAAAGGTTTAACCTTTGACATTACCAAGGCTGATGCGATCTTTGACCAGCTCCTTTTAGAAAAGATAATCAAGTTTTGGCCTAGCCGTAAAATACCTAAGACCGAAGATCCAAAAGGGAAGGTATATTGCAAATACCACGACTCTAACAAACATGTCACCAGTAATTGTGTGGTATTCCGAGACACTATCCAGTGTTGGATCTATAATGGCAAGCTCAAATTTCTAGAGAAAACTCATATGCTAGCTGATACCGATCCATTTTCCAATGGCAACGATGAATATGGTCGATGCTCATTTCCTAAGGAAGAATGGTTAGTAGAGGTTGAGCGACCTGTATTTAGCAGTGTCTTTTGTACCTAAACAAAGCCATTGGCTAAAGTTGAAGATTGACCTATCACATAATAACTTGTCGGCGCATCATCTAGCTTCTGCACACCTCGTCACTCACAAACAAAAGTCAAGTTCAAGTGATTCTAAAGAACCAATTTTACAGTGCAGTCAGTGCAGATCTGAAGTCACCATTACTGGTTCAAGATTGAATCATTCGGCTAAGAAAATGAAGCCTTTAGAATCCTCAGAAGAAATTAGAAGGGAAAGTTCATCCTATGGGTTGGATTTGGGTTGCCTAACTTTTTCAAGTTTAATCTTGTAACAACTTAGTTTCCAAGAATTCCCAAAAAAATTATGCCAAGTATCATCAAAGCTAGCTAACTTTAGTTTCATAAATCCATCTACTATAAAGCTTTAAGATTTAGAGACTACAAATATGGGCTAACTAATCAAAGCCTCTTATTCCCTAAAAGCTTAAGTAATTATAAAGGGTAATTTATTAAAAAATATTAGAAAGCACGTTGATTTTTGGACTTAGCTCACTTGGGTGTAGTATGAGCATTAATTGATATGGGTTACAATCTGGTTAGATTGGGTTTGGTTAGTCGAGTTGGGTTGGGTTGGGGATGGATGGGCAAATGATCAACCCAACTCAACCTAGTCAATGAATGGGTTGAAATTAGGTTGGATTCGGGCGGATTACAACTAAAAAAAACCCATTTGTTTGGGTTTAAAGTTGGGTTGGACATGGGCGGGTTCAGATTGGCCTGACTCAAGTTACACCTTTACCAGTGTATACACCATAGAATCCAAGCCTCAAAAGCGCAGACGACAGTGCAATGGATGTGACGCTCGACTCCTCACGAAGGCTGTTAAAGCTCAAAGCACAGTTCCAACCTAGCATCCCAGAGAGAAAATGCAAGAGGATTTTGAGGAACAAGTCCTTTCGAGTCTTATTGAAATAGCTAAAGGGAAAAAGTTGGAAGTATAGGGATTGAAATCGAACTCGAAGAGTTTGTAAAGAGGATAAAACTGTTGCTTCGGCCTAGAGAGATGAAAGCCCAAATCAAGAACTTCGCTAAAGAGGCCGAACGTACTCTTCCTCCACTCCTACCACATGAACCATTAATCAAGGCTCGCCGCAATAAGCGTCCTCCATTTCCCGACGAAGCATTGGAATATATTATGTTGTTGATAATTGCAAGTGTACAATATCGTCCAAGTAATATAGTGATAAGTGGAGTGTTGTTCAAACAAGCATCGGATTAACCTAAACTTACTATTGAGATTGACTTCAAACTAAACTTAATAAAAGAAGGATTATGTTGACAAATTCAAATATGCAAAGAAACGAAACGAAAGTAAAAATAACAATTGATCGAACACGAACTAAAAGTGAATGAATTATAAAAGATTAATATATGGAAGCACTAGGACATCAAGTTCCTCATTCTCAATCCCATCTAAAACCGTTATTCATATTAACATCAAATTATTCCCATGTTGCTAGCAATTATCCCTTGATTCGTCAATATTTCTTGTCATAATATACTAACCATGTTTCTAACTATCTACCCATGCTATGTCTAGCCACAAATATAGATAATTGAAACCCTTTAAACTAAATGGATAATTACACGATACTACACAAATTATAACTAGTATGTCTACTC